TGAATGAGGATACATATTCGTTTGACATCAATGTTCTTCCCTTTTCTTCAGTTTGTTTCTATTTTTGTTAACAAACATTACAATAAAAAATTTTCATCTTGGTAAACGAAATAATAATTTGATCTAAGTATGTTTCTTTTCTTCCCGATTTGTAAAAAAATCCTTACGTGATAGAAAAAGAAATGAATATTATTTTATAAATCTGCATAGTTGAATTATGGAAAATCCGTTATTAAAACCAAAACAACTTTTATGAAGTTTAAATTCACTGGTCTGTGTTATTTGTAACAGAAACTCACTCAAAACATTCAATTGTAAAATTTAAGTCACCCGAGATCAAATTCTATTAGAAAAACTTGGGTTCTTTATAATTAAAGGAATTGAACATACATAATCAGTCATATGATGAAAAATATAATTGATTAAATCACCTTTAACAATAATTATTTTCTGTATCTCTTTATGAAGATGTTCTCTGAAGGATTGCATAACTACTTCCTATGTTTAAAACTTAAAGAAAAACAAGCTAAACTAAAGTTTAATTTTTGAATATCTATAAAAACGTTAGGTCAAATGTCTTGTTTTTCATTGAGATTTTTTTTTATCTGTTTGTACATAAATTAAGTACAAAGCCTCCCAGTGGATTATCCAGGTTATGCACACCGCAGAGATCGAACCCTGAATTTTAGCGTTATAAACCGTCAACGTTACAGATGAGTCGCTGAGGGATATGAGACTTATAAGTTATTAAGAGTTAGCTTTTACGTTGCTGAGGCATTGCCATCTTTAGTATGGTGTATTAATTTCGTACATTACTTGTGACTCGTGACTCAGCGGTGAGGTTAAGAACTTATAACTCTAAAATCTTAGGTTCAGTCCTTGCGGTAGGCACAGCACCTATGGTCCATAATGCAGCTTTATGCTTACATAAAACAGAGAGCGTACTGACGTTAAATGTCACATCACCATGTTTCAAAAGTTTCTTGTGTATGTGTGTATGTTTTGATCACGCTTCAATATTTGTTTCTTAATTAATATAAATGATTTTCTTTCTAGTAATTCAATAAAGAGCACATCCTGGTGTTTCCATTTCACAAGAGCTTTAGTAGCTATAACTAATAGTTTATAAATATAGCATATAAATGTTTAAAAAGCATATAGGTAAAATTAACATAAAAGTAATATGCGTTTCAGAGATTTAATTAGAATATATTAATTATCTCAACAAGAGAGAGAGAGAAAAAGAGAGATTCCAGTTATGAGTAAACATGTAAGATAAAGGTGCGTATTATTTACTGTAGTTAAATTTTTATTGTTCTAAACAGAGAGAGAGTAATAATAATAATATCAAAATTTGAATTAACACCACAAAGTCACTAGGCCTAGGGATTTAATTTCTTTCAAATAAATGTGAACGTTTTATTACCGTACTTTCCAAGGAGTGACTAAGAAACCAAATATTAATAAAAACTGTTTGATTCTAAGTAATTACGTATCAAATAGGAAACTTTTCTGAATCATGATCTTTTTGTAAGTAAAATTTTAAACAATCTTGACGAATTAGAAGCAAGATCCTAAATTTACTGTCAAAAGTTCTGCGTAATTTCCTATGTATGTGCTAAATAAAGTCATGTTGGGGTCAACAGCAAATAGGAAGTGCCTGGGTGTACCCATCTTACACATACTGATCTTGGTTCCTAGCAGTTTCCCGTTAACGTCCGGTGAAAAAGGATATATTTTTGTAGTCAACCTCGGAGTTAGACCTTAGCACCAAGCTTTGTTCAAAATGAGTAAGCAAAGGTTATTACACCGCCAGTCGTTTTCTGGATCGCCTAAGGTTGAAGGATATTTAAGTAAACGTGGTAGATTGGTAAGTTCCGTATTTTCTATTATTTATATTATTGTTATTTTGAGTTGTTTTTAGTTCTGAAGTCATTTTCTTCGGTTTTTGTTTTTTAAATAGACACGGCCAATAGTGGGCATAACAATTATATATGGGATTTATTCGCAAAAAATAATGTTGAAAATATTTTAAACATTTCACAAACAAGTAGAATAAAAAAGTTTACAAATCACATTCAGAAAAACCCGATAAAATCCTAGCGAATTCCCCAGGAGCAAAAGCAGAATGATGCAATGATGGAATGTTGTAAAGGCATATCTCTACACTTTATACAAACTACTGTATACAAACTTGTAAACAGCGTGTATAGGTGTATTTAACAAAGATGTTTTTATGGCCTTGATCTTGACCCTCAATCTTATTAGCGGGAAGACATTGTAGTTCTTGGATTTTCTTTTTCTCTGTTTTGTGGAGGTAGAAATGAGCATATCGCAAAAAAAATCCAAAGAAACTGATAAAATCAAAAACGTACTGAAACAACTAAAAGAACAACTAATTATATTTAATAAGATTCATGAGGCATATGAGTAGGAAAAAATGTCAAGTATACCTACAAATTAAAAACCTGCCCCCCAGTGGCACAGCGGTATGTCTGCGGATTTACAACGCTAGAAACCAGGTTTCGATACCCGTGGTGGGCAGAGCACAGATAGCCCATTGTGCAGCTTTGTGCTTAACTTCAAACAAACAATTAAAAACCCAGAAATAATAAATAGTGCATGACAAATCACATAGTTCACACTTTTATAGATAGTTTAGGCAGTGTGCACATGATGAACGAAACACAGGTGAAGTGAGCGACAACCGTCTGGTTCAGGTCGAAACGTCAGCCATCCTACATCAAATGAAATATCAAAATACATAGAATTATACTTATTGACTGAGAAAGTTAGATTTATAATGAACTCCGACTATGAAGTATAGTGGATAATGCAAGAAACATTTAACACGTGAAAGCTCATATGTGAAAACAATTGTTTTGGAACTACTCTATTTATTCCTCTCTGCTAAAATCTGCTTACACCAATTTTCATTCGCATTTGTGTTGTGAAACCATAGATATGCAGTACCAGAATGTAGATCTTGAGTTTGTGTTTTGTTTTGCAAGAAAAATAGCATATCAATGAAGAACAAATATGATATTCTCAGATTCATTGATTACCTTACAGGTAAAAGTAGTACCACACATAACTGGAGATTCGATCAGAAAATGTGTTGCAGATTTAAAACTGAAGATTTAGCTTCACTTAGTTGAACAAAAGAAACTAAGTACAGGGTAAAACAAAACGAAAATGGGTCCTTATTTGCTTACAACACAAGTCAAAGACGAGTGCAAAGACGACTGGCGTACAACACTTTCCTGTTATTATTGAAAGATCTATCCAGAAGGAATTCTGGACGAAGAGTGAGAGAGTATAAAATTATGTACACAAAATAACAACGTTACTCTTCTTAGTGCGCAGACGTTACTAAGTCACTGGTCACCCCATAATTGAAAGGAAGGGCAAAATAGCCCCCAGACATTTCTAAGTTTACTACAGCAATGTTGCTAGAGAAAGTGGATGCATGATCAAAACTAGGTCTCCAAAACAGTAACCGCGAAAAAACAAAACTTTCCAAGTGGGACACACTCCTTGACCTCGTGTATTAGCATACAAAATAAGGTCAGTACTACACAAGACGGATTTCCGGTATTGAAAGTCTGTAAATGCTCTAGAAGTGTATATATCAAATATTTTCTAAGCTAAGAGAGAGGGAGAGAGAAAGAAAAATATGGTACATCCGAATACCATGTAAAAACTGATCTAGAGAAATCATTTTGTAGCAGTTTTATGTTTATGTTTTTTTAAACGCACTGGCCAAAATAACTTTAAAAAAATCACAACTTCATTTGAGGAAAAAATGATTGATCTTCTTATTGTATAACTTATGCACCAATTACGTTTATAACCTAGGAGTTTTCAAACTGTAAAATACATATTTCCAAAATATGTTAAAAGAGGTAGTTAATAAACTAAAAAAGAAATTTATTAAGAAGACCCCTCTTTAAGAACAGAGTGAGAGACCTGCACATAGGGAAACAAGTAAGCCATCCTTTAGGAATCTGTTGAACGTTTCCTTCCCATGAATGTTTCAAATTACACAGCTGTGTTGTGTGGTAAACATATCCTACTTATTAAATTTTAATTAAATAATTATTATAAGACACTGAATCAAAATGTATCATGTTAGAAAAAAAGTGACCTAGTACGAAACTATGGGTTCATGGTATACGTATGTTGGAAATCAAAGGTTTAAAGTAATAGAAAGATATAGTGTTGTAACAAGCATACAATACTCGCACTCCGCTGTGGAATTCGTAGGACCCGTCATTATTCACAGATGCTCCAGTGTAACCTCGTCAGGACATCTGCCCGTGATACCTGAGCATGAGCAGTGGGCAATGTTTACTCCTGTTAGCTTGTGAGTGGGGGAATGAACATACTCTTAACATGGTGACTCAGGATCTCGAGGGGACTAGGAACACAGATGCTGATGCTATAGTCCCCCAATGGCACAGCGGTATGTCTGCGGACTTACAACGCTGAAAACCGGGTTTCGATACCCGTGATTGGCAGAGCACAGATAACCCATTGTGTAGCTTTGTGCTTAACTAGAAACAAACAAACTGATGCTATGTTCTGGTTTAACTGCCCTAAAAACCAGCTTCTAGACCTCTACAATGCCTGGGTGACCTTCTCGGCTTGTTTTTTTCTCCCAATGGTTGATGATTACACCACATAGATAAAATCGCTTCCCTCAGGCTAACCCGAGCCCACGTGCAAACAAGTTTGGCTTTGCTATCTCTAAACTGTGGGAATTAATATAACATTGTATGCAAATCATTTAGAACTCCGATGCTTATTTTCTCCAGGCTGAGTGTTAATAGTTTGCATGCCGTACCGAGAATCTGAGGAGTCCAAGATTCGCATCCCGTTGCCGAAAATTCCTATTCTGCACTTTGAGACCGTGAGTCCGTTATACGATTCATGGTTGGTAGGATCCCAGGTCTCGATTAGAGTAATCTAGTCATTAGAGTAGGTGCCATTAAAATTATGGACAGTTAATGCAGATAGCTCTTGTGTAACTTTGTTCAAATTTCCAAAACAAACTATTGTTTTCCCCAAGATCTTATTTGCTAGTTCTGATTCCCTGGATGACAGCTTGGCAGAGAACTTCACGTGAAAGTATACCATGCCCAGGAATATCAGCACAGTCCTTTTCTTTTTTACAACCGGGTCTCGATACTCGTGGTGGATGCAGCATAGATAGGTTATGGTGTAGTTTGCGCTTAACAAGAAACAAACACTTTTACATAAATTTTTATAGTCTTTCGGCATGTGAAGCCTACTATTTTCAGGGCATAATTTAATTATATATCTTGTTACAGAACTTGCGATGTGCTTGGAAGAGGTATTGGTTTGTTCTTGAAGGAAGACAGTTTATGTATTACAAGTCGAAAGCAACTTATGAGGTAAGTTTGTTTTTTCCCACACTTCCGTTTACTGCAAAGCATAGGAGTTAGAGCTTTATATATATATACATATGGTCGTCCGGTATGACAATACTTTTGGCGTTGATAACGCAAAGATCTACACGCCCTAACAATTCTAGTAAACGAAGAAACTTTCCCCCTAGGCCTTAAAACCAAACGGAATTTTTATGCAAGTTCCTTGTGTTGTAAATCAGGAATACTTCCTTGAGTTATGTTATTCTATGTAAAATATTAGGTCGTCAAGAAATTAATGTCGCTTTTTTTAGATGAAAAAACCAACAACTTATATATCAAAACAAAACATTTAT